GACATCAACGCACCGGCTCTGCTGGTGAGCGGCTGTCCCCTGGGAGGTAGAATGGGGACACTGTGGCAGGGACCTGGCTGCTCAGAATTAGGGTCATGGGGCGGGTGCCCCAGCATGGAGGGAGGCAGGTATAGGCATGCACGTGGAATATAAATCTGAGTTGCACCAATTTGCTGTGTGGCTCTGGGCAAGTGTCTCACCCTCTCTGAGCAGAGCCAGGTTTTCAGTTCTCTGCTTCCCACAGAACTTTCTTTTCTTTCCTTTCTTTCTTTCTTTTCTATTTTATTTAATTAATTTATTTATTTTGAGAGGTTTTTGCTATAGGGCGCATGCTCTCACCAGAAAGACAGAGAGACACAGAGAGACAGAGAGAGACAGAAAGCAAGAAATCACCCCCTAGGGAGGATGGCCACGCCACAATCCCTTCTCCTCCATTCTCCTCTTGGGATCTTGGGCACGCACGCACACGCGCCCAGTGTGCATTTGCAGCTGCTAGGTCTGGGACTTGAACCGCAGTTGACTTTGTGGGAGTCCAGCGACATAGCCATTACGCCAACTGCTGATTCCTCTTGTTATTTCTCCCCCCACAGGTAGCTGCTTTTTATTGATGAACCTGACCAGGGCATTTCAGTCACCTCTTATTATTTCTTTAACGTGTTGTCAAACATGTGCGCTCACCAGAAAGACCCACAGAGAGAGTAGAGAGACAGAGAGAGACGGAGAGCGAGACAGAGAGAGAGAGAAAGCAAGCTGCCGGGGCTAGGATTTGAACCGCCGTCTCCCATGTGAGTGTCCAGGAGCTAGACTACTGTACCACCTGCCCCAACCCCAGAGGTAGTTTCTGAGTTTCTGGATCTGAAGTTAAGCCAGGCCCTGTCCCAAGTTCTCTCTCAGCTGTAGGTGGTAGGAAAGCCCCACGGAGGGGGACCAGCAGTTAGCGTAATGGCTACGTCACTGGACTTCCATGCAATTGACCGCGGTTCAAGTCCCGGACCCAGTGGCTTAAACTCACGCAGGTCGCATGTGCATGCGTGCCCAAGATCCCTGGAGGAGAAAGGATTGCGGCCTGGCCATCCCCCCTGGGGGGTGATCTCTCGCTTTCTGTCTCTCTGTCTCTGTCTTTGGCAAGCGCACGCGCCCTATAGCAAAAACCTCTCCAAAGCAAGCTCCATGGAGGTCCCTGGATTGTACAAGTGTCCCATCCCTGTCCCTGACCTGTCCCCGCAGGCACCACAGGTGGGAGCCCAGGAAAAGATGTCTCGGTCCTTGTTCAGTAACCGCGGCCCCATCTCCCTCTCAGTCCAGATCGATCGCAAAGGTTACTGCCCAGGTAGCGGCGGAGGAGGCGGGTTGGGTTGGAAAGGGGGCCGGGCCACGGAGTGAGGGGAGACCCTGAGACCCGCCCATCTGCTGCAGGAGAAGCCATCCGGATCTCCGCTGAGATCTTCAACGGCTCCACAGAGCCTGTGTTCCCTCGGGCCAAGGTGAAGCAGATGCAGACCTTCGTGGCTCGGCGCAAGCGGAGGCATACACGCACGGTGGTGGCCAGTCTCACCGGAGAGCAGGTGGCCCCGGGGCAGCGCGCGCTGTGGCATGGCCAGCCGCTGCAGATCCCGCCTCTGTGGCCCTCTATCCTTAACTGCAGCATC